TTTCTGTGTTTTTCCTCCCAGATTTGTGACCTGGGAGGCCTGATGTCTATCTGCTCAGCCTCCCATATGTTCAATTACAAGCTGGTTGTTTCATGGATACGCGACATGGGCATAGCATCTAACATGTCATTAGAATGGAAGCTCCTTGCTGTAAATAAAGATACAAAGTTCGACAAAGCAAACTGTCGGTGACAACACAGCTAATCACTTAAATCACCCTTACCAGGGTGTACTTAACCATTTTAAATAAGCAAACAAATGCAAAGTGGCTAAAGCTAAAGTTATCCAGAAGCCTCAGAATGAGCAATCAATGCATCAAAGCAGTTTTGAAGAAAATTATGGAGGTGAGTGAAAAAGAGAAAAGAGTATGTTCTATTATCTGGTGAATTTATAAACATGCTGGAAAATGATGGAGTTACTTCATATTTGTTTTTTGTGTGAATCTGTTGCACCTGCTTTTGGTTAGATTTGTAAGGTAAAGGTGGGTTTGGAGCACTTCACACACCACTTTATTTTAAGCTGTTTAAGTGAAAGATGATCAAGTATCTTAGAGCAGTTTGGGGAAGATTGCAAAGTTTAATAATTTCTTTAGGCAATGAAGAAAAGTTGATTGTTGTTGCATTTGCTGTCATTTATAGTTCTTAAAAAGAAAATCTAAATTGGCAAAAATCAATATGAGCTGGTCATCCTAAGATAAAAAAAATCAGACACCAGAAGCACCCAAGTAATTGCTTTTTTACGAGTCTTATACTCCTTGCACCACACATCTATAACAGTACTGCTGTTTTCAACATTTTAAAACATCCTCAAGATGAATGCTTGCTGGGACTGATGCTCTGCTAGCTAAGTAACAAAAACTTTAGCCAGCAACATCCCGACCAACCAAAGTCTAGGACATAAAAAATGTCCATAAAAATGGACAGTGTGTTGCATTTTTACATTTTTTTCTTCAAAGGCATCAGCATTCAGGTGTATTTACAAAAGGCAGTGTATTGTTACCATGTACGGTTTGGTGATGGACTTTTACCCATACTAAAAATCAGATCTGCTCACCCTCTCTTGCTCCAGTAGGCATACTAATTGATAATAGGAATACCTGTGAAAAAAGAATAGTATTTGATGGAGCACCGCTTTAACTTGAATTTGGAGAGATTATGAAATCTGGTTTCCAAAATTCACCACAATGGAAAACATGTTTCACCTTAATCACACTGTATTAGGGTATTAAAGTAAAACTGTCAAGGATTATCCAGTGAGAACTGAGTACGGCAGGAGTGCTTCAGACTTCAAGATCAAACATTGTCTCTGCACTGTATATTCAGTGCCAATCTCAGAGGACTAGGTCCAAAGAGAACTGCCATTCGGTTTGATTAAGTTGGTGCTATCTGAAGCCCCACCCAGGGGTACATAGTAATCCCCAATGTGCACAGCAAAGAGTTCCACTGCACCAGATTGCTTGTTCTGGGCTATACTGAGCCGCATATCCTATTTTACCACTGATTGAAGCACATATACTGTAGACGTCCATCCGTACAGTTTCCCTCCAGAGAGGGGGGGGGGGGAGACAGGAAAGAGATAGACAGGCAAGGAAACAGAGACAGAAAGTGAGAGGGAGGAGAAGCGATAGAGTTATCCGTGGTCTCATTACGGTGGGAAATGTGAGGGTCCCGATCCAAGGGAATGATGAAGGACTCTGTGGAGGAGGCCTCTGAGAACCAACAAAGACGGCTTTAGTTTCACTGGCAGAATGCATTTGCATAGCTTAGAAGCCAAAGCGTCTGAACCGGGGCTCATGAAAAGAAACCCCACCAATTGGTTGGACTTCAATGCAAACGAGAGAGAGGGAGAGCAAGTGAGAAATGGGGAGAGCAAGGCGAAGCGAGTGAGGGAGAAGTGGAATGGGAGGGGAAGCAGCAGGAACTTTTTTCTCTTAAGTAGCAAAACACAAACGAGATCGGGAACATCTGCACATCCCATGGAAGCTGTCGCCGACTGACTTTGATGCAAAGAGAACATACTGAGGAAGAACATCTCCAGAAAAGTAACACGCATAACAACACTTCCGAGATATCACAGGAGCCATGTTCCCTTGTAGTCTTTTGATATTGTTATTTAGTACAGCTTGGTTGCCATTACACATTAATGTAATTTGAGAATATTTCCAGGTTTGTACGCATTGGGATAGCTCCATTTTGCTATGATGGTGGAGCAGTTATTGGCCTACTGGATATCTGGAATGCAACAAATATTAGACATGGGCATAATAGAGCAATCTTCTGGAGAAGTGTGAAAAAAAGAGGCAAGAATTAGGGAGGGAGTGGAGTGAGAGGAGCAGATGTTGTACTTTAGCGGTGTCTCCTTTTCCCACTGTGGCCTGAAGTCATGGAGGGATGACTAGCCTTCATCAATCCTCTTTAATGACTCTGGCAGCACCACTTAACACACTAGTATGTGATTTCTTCATTACTACACCATGATTCCACCATTTACTCGGCCGATGATGACGTACAGCAATGCTCAGGGATAAAACTAATCGCTGAAAGTCTCATTTTTGCAAATTGTCCCATTTGTAAGCACTGGGGTCAATTTAGAAATTGTGGGAAGGAAAGATAGGAGATGGTTTGAGTGTAACAAAAAGAAGATAATGAAATCTAGTGGGGTGAATATTGAAATGCAGTTCACCATGTGAAACTAAGAATATCTATTGCTAATTTGTTTTTGTTTTTTACTCCAATTTCAAAGATGTGACAAATGTAGTGCAGCGCAGTGAAGCTTTGCTCTGCCTGAAAGCTTTCGTGAAATCCTGGTAACTGCTACTTTCATGTGTCAACCCTTCTCGCATTACCCAGTCACCCACTCACTGCCTTTCACCTGTGGTGCACAATTCCCACACCCTCCATGCGTCAGACCCTTCAGTGCATACATTGACGGGGACATGCAAATGTTTTGCCACTATCAATAATAAATGTTGACTTTTGAACCTCACCAATAGATTTTTTTTTTTACTGACAGCGCTTCCCAAGAGATGCACGCAGCTTGCTTTAAGCATAGTTTAGAGGTTTTTGCCGATAACTTGTCATTTTTCAAAAGAATAGAATAACAGTTTGAGATTGAGAACCTATACCTGTCTATCTCTACCTGTGCAGCTCATCTCCCATTACTGTGTTAGTGGGATTAGAAAGCAAGACTTATGCAAATCTTTACTGAGGCACACAAATTTTGGAAAGTCGGGGGGGCTGACAGAGCTCAGGGGAACATTTTAGCCTGCACAACATACATGCAAACACAGAACGTCCAAACAGTTCCATCTGCTAAACCTTCCCCCCACCCACCCGGTCCCTTCTGCTGCTGCTACAAGCCCAACACCTACCACTCTCTCAACATCATATCAAACACTATGGGCTACGACTCCTTCTAATGAGCTTGCACATGCTGCACCGTAGACTGTTTGCTCACACCAAGAATCCACAGCTTTAATCAGACATCAGTTTTGATAGTCAGTGTCATGCCTGCCTGACCTGAATATATCTCGCAAGGCCGCTTTAGTGGTTATTGAATCGAGCAAAAGCAATGATTTCTTTAGGCATCAATGTTTGATGAGAACTTCTGCCCTCGGGCTTAATACGTAACTCGAGTAATTCGCTAACTCCAAACAACAACACCTAAAGTACAAATCTGAGACTGCTTAATGAGTGCCGCTTTGAGGTTTGAAGATGATATAAAATCGATGTGCGTGTGTGTGTGTGTGTGTG